TTTCAGGTCAAATTTCTTCCTCGTCTGAAAAAATATTTTCAATATCTAGGACTACGAACAAAGAATTCGCCCTTTCACTCATAACGTCTTAGTATAGTCCCATATTTTGAAATTTTACACGTTGTTAGGTTTACTTTCAGGTCAAATTTCTTCCTCGTCTGAAAAAATATTTCCAATATCTAGGACTACGAACAAAGAATTCGCCCTTTCACTCATAACGTCTTAGTATAGTCCCATATTTTAAAATTTTAAACGTTGTTAGGTTTACTTTCAGGTCAAATTTCTTCCTCGTCTGAAAAAATATTTTCAATATCTAGGACTACGAACAAAAATTCGCCCTTTCACTCATAACGTCTTAGTATAGTCCCATATTTTGAAATTTTAAACGTTGTTAGGTTTACTTTCAGGTCAAATTTCTTCCTCCTCTGAAAAAATATTTTCAATATCTACGACTACGAACAAAGAATTCGCCCTTTCACTCATAACGTCTTAGTAAAGTCCCATATTTTGAAAGTTTAAACGTTGTTAGGTTTACTTTCAGGTCAAATTTCTTCCTCGTCTGAAAAAATATTTTCAATATCTAGGCCTACGAACAAAGAATTCGCCCTTTCACTCATAACGTCTTAGTATAGTCCCATATTTTGAAATTTTAAACGTTGTTAGGTTTACTTTCAGGTCAAATTTCTTCCTCGTCAGAAAAAATATTTTCAATATCTACGACTACGAACAAAGAATTCATCCTTTCACTCATAACGTCTTAGTATAGTCCCATATTTTGAAATTTTAAACGTTGTTAGGTTTACTTTCAGGTCAAATTTCTTCCTCGTCTGAAAAAATATTTTCAATATCTAGGACTACGAACAAAGAATTCGCCCTTTCACTCATAACGTCTTAGTGTAGTCCCATATTTTGAAATTTTAAACGTTGTTAGGTTTACTTTCAGGTCAAATTTCTTCCTCGTCTAAAAAAATATTTTCAATATCTACGACTACGAACAAAGAATTCGCCCTTTCACTCATAACGTCTTAGTGTAGTCCCATATTTTGAAATTTTAAACGTTGTTAGGTTTACTTTCAGGTCAAATTTCTTCCTCGTCTAAAAAAATATTTTCAATATCTAGGACTACGAACAAAGAATTCGCCCTTTCACTCATAACGTCTTAGTGTAGTCCCATATTTTGAAATTTTAAACGTTGTTAGGTTTACTTTCAGGTCAAATTTCTTCCTCGTCTAAAAAAATATTTTCAATATCTAGGACTACGAACAAAGAATTCGCCCTTTCACTCATAACGTCTTAGTGTAGTCCCATATTTTGAAATTTTAAACGTTGTTAGGTTTACTTTCAGGTCAAATTTCTTCCTCGTCTAAAAAAATATTTTCAATATCTAGGACTACGAACAAAGAATTCGCCCTTTCACTCATAACGTCTTAGTATAGTCCCATATTTTGAAATTTTAAACGTTGTTAGGTTTACTTTCAGGTCAAATTTCTTCCTCGTCTAAAAAAATATTTTCAATATCTAGGACTACGAACAAAGAATTCGCCCTTTCACTCATAACGTCTTAGTATAGTCCCATATTTTGAAATTTTACACGTTGTTAGGTTTACTTTCAGGTCAAATTTCTTCCTCGTCTGAAAAAATATTTCCAATATCTAGGACTACGAACAAAGAATTCGCCCTTTCACTCATAACGTCTTAGTATAGTCCCATATTTTAAAATTTTAAACGTTGTTAGGTTTACTTTCAGGTCAAATTTCTTCCTCGTCTGAAAAAATATTTTCAATATCTAGGACTACGAACAAAAATTCGCCCTTTCACTCATAACGTCTTAGTATAGTCCCATATTTTGAAATTTTAAACGTTGTTAGGTTTACTTTCAGGTCAAATTTCTTCCTCCTCTGAAAAAATATTTTCAATATCTACGACTACGAACAAAGAATTCGCCCTTTCACTCATAACGTCTTAGTAAAGTCCCATATTTTGAAAGTTTAAACGTTGTTAGGTTTACTTTCAGGTCAAATTTCTTCCTCGTCTGAAAAAATATTTTCAATATCTAGGCCTACGAACAAAGAATTCGCCCTTTCACTCATAACGTCTTAGTATAGTCCCATATTTTGAAATTTTAAACGTTGTTAGGTTTACTTTCAGGTCAAATTTCTTCCTCGTCTGAAAAAATATTTTCAATATCTAGGACTACGAACAAAGAATTCGCCCTTTCACTCATAACGTCTTAGTATAGTCCCATATTTTGAAATTTTAAACGTTGTTAGGTTTACTTTCAGGTCAAATTTCTTCCTCGTCTGAAAAAATATTTTCAATATCTAGGCCTACGAACAAAGAATTCGCCCTTTCACTCATAACGTCTTAGTATAGTCCCATATTTTGAAATTTTAAACGTTGTTAGGTTTACTTTGAGGTCAAATTTCTTCCTCGTCTGAAAAAATATTTTCAATATCTAGGACTACGAACAAAGAATTCGCCCTTTCACTCATAACGTCTTAGTGTAGTCCCATATTTTGAAATTTTAAACGTTGTTAGGTTTACTTTCAGGTCAAATTTCTTCCTCGTCTGAAAAAATATTTTCAATATCTAGGACTACGAACAAAGAATTCGCCCTTTCACTCATAACGTCTTAGTATAGTCCCATATTTTGAAATTTTAAACGTTGTAAGGTTTACTTTCAGGTCAAATTTCTTCCTCCTCTGAAAAAATATTTTCAATATCTAGGACTACGAACAAAGAATTCGCCCTTTCACTCATAACGTCTTAGTAAAGTCCCATATTTTGAAAGTTTAAACGTTGTTAGGTTTACTTTCAGGTCGAATTTCTTCCTCGTCTGAAAAAATATTTTCAATATCTAGGCCTACGAACAAAGAATTCGCCCTTTCACTCATAACGTCTTAGTATAGTCCCATATTTTGAAATTTTAAACGTTGTTAGGTTTACTTTGAGGTCAAATTTCTTCCTCGTCTGAAAAAATATTTTCAATATCTAGGACTACGAACAAAGAATTCGCCCTTTCACTCATAACGTCTTAGTATAGTCCCATATTTTGAAATTTTAAACGTTGTTAGGTTTACTTTCAGGTCAAATTTCTTCCTCCTCTGAAAAAATATTTTCAATATCTACGACTACGAACAAAGAATTCGCCCTTTCACTCATAACGTCTTAGTAAAGTCCCATATTTTGAAAGTTTAAACGTTGTTAGGTTTACTTTCAGGTCAAATTTCTTCCTCGTCTGAAAAAATATTTTCAATATCTAGGACTACGAACAAAGAATTCGCCCTTTCACTCATAACGTCTTAGTATAGTCCCATATTTTGAAATTTTAAACGTTGTTAGGTTTACTTTGAGGTCAAATTTCTTCCTCGTCTGAAAAAATATTTTCAATATCTAGGACTACGAACAAAGAATTCGCCCTTTCACTCATAACGTCTTAGTGTAGTCCCATATTTTGAAATTTTAAACGTTGTTAGGTTTACTTTCAGGTCAAATATCTTCCTCGTCTGAAAAAATATTTTCAATATCTAGGACTACGAACAAAGAATTCGCCCTTTCACTCATAACGTCTTAGTGTAGTCCCATATTTTGAAATTTTAAACGTTGTTAGGTTTACTTTCAGGTCAAATTTCTTCCTCGTCAGAAAAAATATTTTCAATATCTACGACTACGAACAAAGAATTCATCCTTTCACTCATAACGTCTTAGTATAGTCCCATATTTTGAAATTTTAAACGTTGTTAGGTTTACTTTCAGGTCAAATTTCTTCCTCGTCTGAAAAAATATTTTCAATATCTAGGACTACGAACAAAGAATTCGCCCTTTCACTCATAACGTCTTAGTGTAGTCCCATATTTTGAAATTTTAAACGTTGTTAGGTTTACTTTCAGGTCAAATTTCTTCCTCGTCTAAAAAAATATTTTCAATATCTAGGACTACGAACAAAGAATTCGCCCTTTCACTCATAACGTCTTAGTGTAGTCCCATATTTTGAAATTTTAAACGTTGTTAGGTTTACTTTCAGGTCAAATTTCTTCCTCGTCTAAAAAAATATTTTCAATATCTACGACTACGAACAAAGAATTCGCCCTTTCACTCATAACGTCTTAGTGTAGTCCCATATTTTGAAATTTTAAACGTTGTTAGGTTTACTTTCAGGTCAAATTTCTTCCTCGTCTGAAAAAATATTTTCAATATCTAGGACTACGAACAAAGAATTCGCCCTTTCACTCATAACGTCTTAGTGTAGTCCCATATTTTGAAATCTTAAACGTTGTTAGGTTTACTTTCAGGTCAAATTTCTTCCTCGTCTGAAAAAATATTTCCAATATCTAGGACTACGAACAAAGAATTCGCCCTTTCACTCATAACGTCTTAGTATAGTCCCATATTTTGAAATTTTAAACGTTGTTAGGTTTACTTTCAGGTCAAATTTCTTCCTCGTCTGAAAAAATATTTCCAATATCTAGGACTACGAACAAAGAATTCGCCCTTTCACTCATAACGTCTTAGTATAGTCCCATATTTTGAAATTTTAAACGTTGTTAGGTTTACTTTCAGGTCAAATTTCTTCCTCCGTAAATTAGCGGGCCCGTCCCGCAGATTTAAATTGAATGCTAACACTTGAGGCGCATTTCATGAAATATTGAAACTGGGCGAACCTCGTTGCAAAAAAAAAAAAAAATGAAAAAATGAAGGACAACTGATAAATTTAAAAAAAAAGCTCTTTTTTAAATAAAAGAATTAAAATATAAAAGCAAAAAACATGATTATTAGGAATTGAATACTGAAAAATTAAAAAAAAAATTAAATGTAAATAAAATATAAATGATTCATAAAAATTAAATTAGTACTGTGACTAATCGCCTTGACGTGGAATTAAATAAATGGCACAAATAATAAAATTGACGACGAAATAGTTGCAAATTGTGTTTATTGATCTAACTCGAAGGCAATTGCAGCCCATAAATAGAAATGGTAATGGAATGGCTGCGAAATAGAAGTCTTTATCGAAAAAGGCGACGAAATAGAATGAGTAAGCAAATGGAAATTGAAATAGAAATGGAACGATTCTATCTTACAGAATTAGACCCCAGTAGAAATTTATAATTCTTTGCTCATTTAGATTTTTATTTTCAATGCTTGCAATTAACCTTGGATTTCAGAGCTAACAATAAGTATTATGTCAATGGAACAACTTCCTATTTCAACCTTTTGCTTGTTTTGAACCTAATTATGAACATTTCTTAAAACGTTGTAATGAAAATAATGATAATGGTGTAATGTTTTTGTCAAAGAGAAAAGCTTCAATATATATGTACATCAATAAATTTCATAATATATTTATCTCAACACTGAAACAAGAGCACAGTCAGATTTCATAAATCCCCAATAAATTGTTGTTTTGTCTTCATCTCATCAGAAAACCAGAAATCAGCAATAGATTTAAAATCCATGCAACGATAAACAGCTTTGATAGATTTTGAACATGCAACCAGAGATCTCTTGAGCGATTCTTCATCGCTCGCTACGTAAACGCGACTTTGGTATCAACAAGCAGTCGACAGTGACATTTTGCACACCAACTTGTCATTAAAACACGAACTGAGACGCGGCGCAGCAAAACCATCTCGTTAGCGCCGCGAGTCTTTTGGGGTGGCGGAATTTCAGCTGCAATTAATGAAATTGAATTTTCGCTTCATCTCCAGCGCAAATAAATCGCGGCCTCTTGGTCTCGCACCCTTCAATCCCTCATTGTTGCGGCTGCGAGATGTTCAGAGGGAGCAGCTCGTGCGCCTCTCGCCAAACCCCGTTCAGAGCGGTCCGGTGTCGCGAGTTAAAACTGCACCCGGCGGCCCGTTGGTACTCGGAAACTGCTGAAACAAATGTCATGATTGTGTTATTTTTGTGTGGAAAATATGCAAGTTTAGCTATAGAAATATTGCTTGCTCACATTGCATTCCAATACCTATAAAGGCAATTTTAGTGGCAAATTTATATTTACCACAAAATAACAATGTAAACTCGAACTTTTTGATGTTTTTCATTTTGCTATTCAGACAAAAGTAGTCATCAAATTTAAAATTGAGTTTTATGTAATTTTTTTAAACAATTAAATTGTTATATTATTGATTTTGTGGTGGGGGGAGGGGGATACATTTTATACACACTATAGGATTTTTTATAGTTAAATAATATTTCCTTACGTAATAGTAATCGCACAACTTGCATTACTTAGCATTTAATATTTCTTAAATATTGTGTAACTAATCTACAACCTGCTACCACTTAAATGCTGGGTCAGATCAACATCAATTAACCTTTTCATTATTTAAAAAAAAAAAAAATGATGATACTGTGATATTTTCTAACTTGCAACAGTTGTAAATTCATAGAGCGCAATGGATCATTCTTATTGTCAGATAGATAAAATTCAATTGAAAATATAATTTTAAATTCTATTAAATACGTAGTGTTCCCTTATTTAATAATCTAGGAAGTACCTGCAGTAGAAAATGTACGGTGGGTTTAGGAGGAAAGAGCTTTCTGATATAGAAGCTTTTGATTGCTTAAAACAGGCTCCAAAATTAAATATTCAACAAGGATTAGGTCTGTTTTTGTCTCACACAAAAAACGCATTAATCTTCATCATGATTCATTTTTACGATTCAATAATTCAGTTCGGTAAAAGCGTGTGTCTGTTTTTCCTCGCACTCTGACGAAAAATAATGTTTGGGGTCGACACCAAAGTTTTATGATATTTTTTTCCGCTCCATTTGATGCATGGGTGTTGACCCAGAGGAGAAATTTTTGTGCGCAAACCCTCGCTAAAAAATTCATCGATTTCTAAACGCCACTCATCCCTCTGCGAACTAAAACTTTTTAAATACTTTTGGCTTTTTTTAAGCTGATTTGAGCTTGTTTACTTTGCCCCCTTTCACACTCGGCAACAAGTAAGTGAATTTCTGTCAAATGCAGCCTGATTGGTAAAGACGTCAAATTCACACGCGCGCAGCAACAAAGGCAGCCTCATTTAGCGAGTCCTTGTTTGCAGATTCCAACCCCAGCAGCAAACTACACCAAAGTTTCCGCCTCCAGACCTCGGGCGGTTCCTATAGTACATTATTAAATTAGCTTGCGCTTTTCAAATGTACGCAACCCGCGCGCTCGTCGTGTTCAGCAGGAAGCATCTTAAAAGTTCCACAGGCTGAAATGATCATTTTTATTTCTTTAATCAATTAATCTGCCCCATCATCGTTGTTACAAGACCAGAAATTTTACTGCTACTTTTTTTAACAATAAATTATAATAATTTTCTCATTTGGTTGGAGTGTCTGCAAAAATGAAAGCCAAGTTGTGTTTCGTGAAACCATTTTCATTATTTTAACTTTCCAAAAATTTTCTGTGCCGTCGCACAGAATGTAAATTAAGTTACGCAGCACTGACATTAATCAACTATCTCGCTAGAATGGCCTCAACGTAAAATTAGCTAGAAAGCAGATAGCTCAAAATTAATTCGGCACACACTCAAGCGCGTAGCAAGACATTCAATATGCTTACTTACGTCTTCAAAGTCATGTTGGAAGGAGAGTTTAATTAAGACGGCTTGAAATAATATTGAAACTTCCTAGACATCACTTGAGATTTCATGAACATGACTTAATTTTCCCAGGGTATTGATCATTTCTTGGTAGTAAATTGTGGCGCTTTTTCCACCGGAACCGAGATAAGCAAAAATAATTATAAATAAAAATTTCTAACTAATGATGTCAGTAAAATATTCAAAATTTAAATACATAGAATAATTAATTGATAATAGAAAATCATTTAATACTAAGAATAGTAATAATTTTTTATTGAAAAATGAATAAAATAAAAAATTTCTAATAAATAAAATTATAAAAAAATTACGTACTCATCGCATATGAATATTGCATAGAATTTTATCATTCTAGGCACTAAAGAGCCCATTAATATATAATAATGCTGTAAAGTGCACTTTTAGAGGGAAACTTTTACTGACCTGTTGACTGGCTGACCTCCCTGCGGCCGGTCCTGTGCACACCAGCGCCGGGGCAGCACATCGTCTTGAGCGCCCGCCGGAAGTTCTGTCCGCTGACGCAGTAGAGCACGAAGTTGATGCCGAAGTTGGTGTTGAAAAGCACGTAGCTGATGTGCTGCAGGACAATCAGGTGGCTGAGCCATTTGTCCCCGGGGGTCGGCGGCTGCAACACACACATGCGCCCTAAATTAGCCTAGGCAAATGTTTGCTCGGCGCGTCAAAAGTGACACACACGCGTGTATATTTGTGTTCGAGCCGTCGCAAGGGCACCAAATCGACCCTGGCAAATTCAGCGCGAGTAATTTATTGTCCGACCCCTCCGTGGCAAATTTGTTCAGGCATCGAGTAATTTACGTCGGGTCGAGTCGCAAATCGCCGATGCAAGCAGCGGGGCAACTGCTGCGCTCGATCAGCTTTGATCAATTTGTTCAATTGAAAATTACAATGATGGGACTCGACGGAGTGATTGTGCTTAATCAATCATAATGACCGTGGTCTGCCAAATGCCACTAAATTAAATTCAGCCAAGTGGTCCATTAGGGGATTTAGATAATGTTTGATTTTTTTTTCAAACAATGTATTGACGTAAATCTTTCATAATACTGATTTTTATAAAATTTGGGTGAAATGTTGAATGATTATTAATTTAGGTGTAAATGGATTTCAAACCAAACTTTTTACAGGTATCAGTTTCTAAAGACATTTTTACATTATTTGTTTTTGGCTAAATAAAGTCGATAATTAAAATAAGTAAATCTGCTAAATATCTAATTATATCGGTTTGTTATAAATGATAATCGAACAAAAAAAAATGGTGTCGTTGCAATAAATTGATTATTGATAATTGATTATTATTTTTATTATTATCAAAAAGTTACAAATTCAAGCCCTCGTCATTGTTTCCCTGAATTGCTGGTCCAGATCTCGCACAATGCAAACACCTGCCACAATTATACAACCGGGTCTCTCGAAACGGCGACTGTAAATTATTAATGCGCGGCCATTCATGTGGCAATTACCCCGTGCAAAGTCTACAACGACGCAAACTGAATGGGCTGATTTAGGCGCTCGCTCGAGGCAATTAGTCGACAGTGGTTTGCGTGCTGCTGGCATGCAATTAATGCAAGTAATAAACTCATCCAGCGCCGAACAGATTAAATTGGCTTGGGCTGACATAGAAGTTCCTCCCATGCACGTGAAAAAAAATCCAGGTCTAGCAGTGCGGATGACAGACTCTTCATTTGTATTTTTTCTTTGCATTTTTAATCAAGAAAACGTCGCTTACAAAGCAAACGGAGCGAACCGCTTCATCTTTATTTCAATTTTACTACAATGACAACTTCCTCCGTAAATAATAAGCCGGAGGTGCATTTGAAATAAAAAAGCTTGCGTCTTTTGAATAAAAAGCGAAAGGAAAATTTAGAGGTATGAGCGGAGCTTATGAACAATTGGGACAGGAAAAGAGCGCACAAGTCAAGTGTGCCAAAAACCCTTTCATTAGCCGCAAGCCCTGGCGCACAGAAACAAAGCACCTGGCTGGCGTTCTTCGCATCCCATTTCCGTTCCGACCAACTCTCGCTGCTCCGAGGCAATTAAAGCTTCTGCACGCAGATAATTGCCTTCCCGCCCATTATTCACTGACACTCCGCAAGTGTGTGTGAGAAATAATTCGCCATCAACCGAGAGGCACAAAATATCGATTGTTTGCATTATCCGCCGATGCTGCTTGTTGGGAAAAGCATAATTCTGCACTCAAATCATATAAGCCGTGCGGGCTTTGTGCGTGCCTATTGAGAGGGGAAATATCTCCAGAATTATTGTCTTTGCAGAAACAAAAGATTATATACAAAGGATTGGATTCCGAGCAGGGATTAGGCTTCAACTTGCAACAAACCTCGCGTTTCTGAATATTTTATTCCAGTTACGAGGGTCTGAGAGTTTGAAACAAACTTGAGTTTTGAAGCTTTAATGCTTCCATATAAATCAATTAGTGAAATTTGAGAACATATCGTTGATATCCAAGTTGCTCATTGAATAATTGAGGAGCCGTTTCGTACAAAAATTACTAAATTTTAAGTGATAAATAGCAACGAGAGTGAATGAAACGGGTATTTTGTGCAACTAAATAAAATTTAAATTAAAGTGGAAAGAGATAATTATTAAAAGAAAGTATTAGCCTGTAGAGATAAAAAAAAAGACTTGTTATTCATTCATTGCAGTCAAGAAAATTAAAATTATTATATTTAAAAAAAAAAAATAAAAGTTTAATTATGTGTATTAAATAATCTCTGAAGATGAAGCGCTTTTTCAAGCAAGAGTCATTTATCATTTTACATGTGTACATATTAAAAATGCTTTACTGGTGCAGTGAGTTTCCTCACTCATCTGTCAACGCAAAGGCCAAACTTTTCCTCGTGCTTTTCTGAACTGCAGGAATGCGCTCAACCCCAACTTAATTAAAGTGTCGCAAGTGCAAGTCTGCCGTCTGTTTGGGAGCGCCGTTCATCATTCCGCACGCACAAGTTCAAATTACGAAACGGGCTTGCTTTGCACCATGAAAAGGACTGGCTAACTAACTGTACGCACGTAAAAATAAAAATAAAATTTATTTCTGTCTCACCTTGATGAAGACCCAAAGGCGGCAGACGTACGAGGGCAGGTTGAGGGCGACAAACACGGTCGACACCAGCAGCAGCATTTTCGTGATCTTTGCCTGCGTGTTGGCCGAGTGTTGGGCCCTGATGGCCCTGGCGTTGCCTCCGTGGGTGGCCAATTCCATTTGCTCGCCGTTTTTCACCAGCATCACGCCACCACGAGTGCTCGACACCCTTTTATTGGCGACGCTGTTGAAGTCGCTTCCGTTGCTACTGAAACAGTCGGAAATCGATCTCTAGTTATTTTTTTATGATTTTGCGCTCATTTTTAATGATTTGTTTTCAAAGAAACCATACTTTCCTTGTCCTCATTAATTTCTATTTTTCTTCTTGGAAAATAAATGGAAATTTTCTCGTTCTTTTCCCGTGTCGTGATATTTCTCTTTTAGAATTTCAAATTTTCGAGCATTCAAATAGAATGGGGTCTGCTCAAAAATAAATTTTAATAGTGAATTGGAAATTTTTGAAAATTCACGTCAAAATTTCCATATAAATTGTAATTTTTCACTAGAAACTTAAAAAAATTGGCACCAGATTTTGTTTTCAGTCTCGCCATCAACAAGTTTTATGTTTAAATTTATTATAATATATGATCAATATTATGATTGCTGATTATCGCATGTCGATTTCTTGGAATAAATATTAAGTGGCCCCACGTAAAGTTAAGCGCCGCTTTTCCCGCAAACGATTTGCATAAATATGCAAGCAAGAGGCGATAAAAGTGCGGCTCTACAATATTAATAGCGGTCTTTGAAAGGGAACAAAGAAATTTTGTGGAGCAGCGAATTTTCTCAGCACGAGAGAAGTTGGCTTGAAGTAGATTAGAAAATCACTTCCTCCGTCGCTTCCTGTCTGCGGAACATGTCCGCAAGTTGAAGGACAGGAAAATTAGTTCACACCGAAATTCATTATTCATCTCATAAGTCAGAAAGGAGTATTCTGACCACGTACAACATGTTCTGCAAGTTATTAATGCCAACAGTGGGTACGATGGAGAAGGAATCATGCAATATAATCCTCCTATATTTTTTACAATAAAACATCCGCTCGAAAAGGGATATTGGTTCCACGGCTTATGTGTAATACACATTCTATCTCTCAGTTCATAATGTTCGCCAAGCGTATAGAAATTCCGGAATGAAACACGAGTTTGGTGGTGAGTTTTGCTTCTTGCGTAAGGCTCTATTTATTGACCATTCCCAGAATAGAGTGAGGGCTATTCAGACTTCTGCGGATAGTAAAATTTTTTAATTTTTTTAAAATTCATTATTATTTTTTCATTTTTCTGTCAATTAAGCTCATTTTACACTCACTTTTTTACAGCTTTTCCATAGAACAGAAATGTATAAATTTAATTACTGCTATAAATAGTATTTTTGATGCACTTTTCATAATCTAATTACGATTGACAATGAAGATATAACAAATAATGATGTTTTTGTTTAGCTTTATGATAATATTTTCCTGATTCTACTAAAACCGTGATTGTGTATTTTTTTTACCTTCCAATTATATACTTGGTAAATTCATGAATTTTTACTCCATTAATTTATAATCTTTTTCTGTTTAAAATTTGAAATGTTTTTGAAAAGCCCGCTCTGGGACTCAATTCTTGTTCGCTTGGTTGTTATTATACAAATATTTATGCCAATGAACATATGAAAATCAATAAATAACCATGAACGTAACCCCAATTTGAGAAATTTTCCGGATTGAAAATACACGATGAGAGGACAAATAAAAAAAAATCTTTTGCTTACTCTTGTCTACGCTGCTGGCGGGTCATGGCGCGACGAACTTTGGCCAAATAGTAGACCGTGCACGCGATGCTGGTGTTGAGAACTGTGATGGCCAGCACTGGCAACACAAAGGTCAGCACCGTGTCCACGTAATTAAATATGCTCGCCAGCTCTTCGAACTCGGACCGCATCCCACACGCTACCTGCAAAAATACAGATAAATTCAGATGAGGATGTGTTACCATGGGGTATTTTTCAGCAGAAAACAAAAAAAAATAGTTGTAAAAATAATATAGATATCTGCAAACAGTATTAATATTCATTGCCTCAGAGTTTTTCGTAACTCTGAATAAAAAAAAGTGAATTTAATTAATATTATTGTTTATTGGCCCAATTGTGATCATTTCAATTTTGAACAAAAGGGAACAAAAGTTCAAAAGACATCTTCCCCTGCAGTGATTCTTAAATATTATTCTGCGTTGATTCTGTAAAAAAAGTTGCTTGATTTTCCATTCGTTGTGTTTCTTCATCTTTGAATTGAATCATATAAGTTAGCAATAACTTTTGGTCCTAAGCAATCCCGGAAATACAGAGAATTGATGGTGGATCCGAAACTTGCCAACAAAGTTAGGAGGAAGAAGAACGTGAGAATTTGACAAGTTTCGTTTTTGAAGTCAACAAGGGAACCATTGAAAGTAAGTTTCAGTGTGCAAAACATCAAAAAGCTATTATATTTCATCCCCTGGGAAGCGATATTTTCAAAGAAGTCGTCGTTATTTTGATCGAAGCAGAAAAGAAAAAGTAAAAATGGCATTCACTTGTGACCAAATAAATTCAAACGAATGATCCTGATCCTTTACCCAGATATATTCCCGAGCAATAAAAAAACATGCTTTATGAGCCACGTAGAGGCAATAACAACTTCAGGTCTGAATGTCCAAACAAAATGAAAAACACTTTTTTTCAAATACATAAAATTACAATATACACATATTTTTCGTTTATAATATTAATTGAAGTTATTCTCTCAGTTTCAATCACAAATTTTCTTATATTTTGAAAAATGAACAATTTGAATTAAATTCAATGTTTATACACAGAAGAAAAAAATATTATTTATTTATGAATTTCAAATAATTAAAACTTCAGCCAATGTGATTAAAAGATTTATTTTAAATCTAAATCCATTTATTTTACTTCTTTTTGCTGTTAAAGACAACTTGAAAGTGAAAAAGGAAATGCTCTGAGAGGGTTTTTTACGGCACCTTTTTTTCTCCCACTTTTAAACTTGCCTTGTGACGCACACGTACCCCTATGCTTGCATCAGAAAACTTCCAAATCCAGCAAATGCACTCTTAACGCGGCAGCTGCCTCTTTTCACGCATTTTGAGCGATGTGTGTTGACACAAAGACTGATTGCTAGCTTTTCGCAACAAGGGCACCTGTTCTTAACAAGAGTGCTCGTCCCTTCCTCTCGTTTTCTGCAGCCACTCCAAACAACAAATAATGTACTTCAGGCGTTGAATACTCCCTAGTTTTTCTGCGGCTAACCAACTTTGATCGTACCTAGCGATAATCACGGATGAATAGTAAATAAGCAAAGTTTGCGTGAGAAACTCGGCAACTAAATCAAGTTTGCTTATGCAAGGAAAGAGAGCACCTGCCAATGTTTGCATTAGCTTGCGCAAATAAACTTTGATTTCTGTGTGTTGAACTTAAGAAACTAATGCTCATCAATATCAATCTAAAAGTTATTGGAAGATAATAAATCTTTGCGGAGGCAAATATTTCCTGAACGGTGTGTTTGGTTTTCATTAACAAACTTGTAAGAAGATCTACCTGCTGCTTAATTCATACAAGATGTTTGAACAATGAAGTGATTCTTGGCCGAAAAATTAACCAATTCTATTTTAAAAAGCTCTCTATTATTTTTTAAATTCAAGGGTTTAGGGCGTTTAACATTTCATATTTTTAACTGATTTTTATTAATCACTTTAGCATGTTGTGTAAATGGGAAAAAGTTATATTATCCTTAATAATCTTGCAATAATCTAGAAAAAACTTTGTGGCTAAAATAGCAATCAATATCAATCAAATATGTATTTATATTTAAACACAATATATTCTTATAACTACATACAAAATACTAACATTTACAAAAATTCATCTTTTATAATCTTGCTGAGAAACTTCCAACAGACTTATTTCATATTTATTACATTCAAACGAGTGATCGATACAAACCGATTTAGTATCCGCGTTTTTGGAAATAAATTCATTATTTTTTTATAGCCGTCTGAAAATTTTAATTTTGCTAATGTTAATATTGTTTTCACTTCTTTTGTCAGTATATGAGATTAAATATTTTATAAGAAAAGTATATAATAAATTATATACATAAGCCACTAACAAGATAATGAGGAGATTTTAAAAGGTAATAAAACTACCAAATAAAAAATGGAGGTCTATTTATCGGAAAATAACTTAAAAACAATAATAAAATTAATTAAGCAACACTCGCACTTTTACTAATTAAAGTAAATTAATTAATTTTCTCCTAACCAAAATATGTAACCCTCCTTAAGTGAAATCAGAGTGCATTTTTGCTCCTCTCATCCACTCCGACCTTAACAAAAAGCTATCTTCGCCACCTCCCTTCTGTGAACTGTCGTGTTTCCTTTATGCCGACGAGATACGCCTGCAATTTTTCAACCACGGTGGAGCGCATAAATAATAAAAGCATCTTAGATGAAGCTCACTCGGCGCATATGAACAATATTAAAATGAAATAGCGCTGGCGCCTCGTACTGAGGCAGAGAAAAATCTGCTGCCGGAAAAGGCGGTCGCTTTGCTACGAAGATAAAAGCGCTCTTTAAAAATAGGAGGGCCAAAGCACCAGCTGCGAGTTTTTTTTTTCATTTTCACTATATGCAGAACGTGGAAATGAAGCTGATTCGGATTAATAAGGGTCTGTGGGGCGAACAGGCTGACTGAATTATGTGGACGCGCGACAGCCGAAAGTTTTAACGACCTCCGAGAATGCCAGATGCTGCTTTGTCGAGTTCGTTCTAATTAAATGACTGATTTTTATATGGAAATCGGATCAAATAGGCACAGAAAAACGTTCATTTATTCCACATCCGATCACATTTCCTCGAAAAGTTCTTAAATTTCCACTAGCATTACACCGGTAATTCAAAAGTTACTCCTGCGAACATGACAAATGCTGTGACAGGTGCAAGAAAAATTCAATTCAAATATAAAAATCGAAAACGGAAGGAGGTGTGCGGCGAGTTTATGTGTAAAAAACGCACTAAATTTCAATAATAGTCTCGGGCGAGAGGAGGAAATTTCACCTTTTTATCAAATGGTGCAGAATAAAATTGTCAGTCCAAGGAGAATTTTTGCGTTAAAATATTGACACAGCTGACAAAACAATTTATATAAGGGTTGATTATTGACCTCAGTCAGACCTGTGGGAATTTCCTTTCTTTTTTCAATTGATGTTTTACGATGGAAGATCCAAGTAGCTCTTTCGCTACAAATCCCTTGACCCATGAAAGGCCAGTTACATAAATTGCCATGGACGGTTACAAGGGACAAACCAGCCCGTGCAGTTTGTTTGGATTCATGTCTAATGGGCTTTCCTTGTTGGTCTCTCCGTTTATTTCGGGTGGGCGGCGGACACTCCTGGTCTGGGAGCGATCGCGTGTTAAATTATAAATGGCATCTTGTTGAGTGAAGAGGGTGTAAGAAGACCGCTGGTGACGCGATTAATTTTACACTGAATACTGTCTCAAACAATTAAAAGTTTATAATTTCCTGCTAAGATGTAAGAAAATCTTTCATTATTAGTCTTCCCCTTGCCTGCCAAGAAGGAGATAAAAGTCGTAATATATATACTTTTATTCAAAATTAGATTAAAATTTTAGCTTATAAAGATTCGCCCACGCGAATTTACCCTTGCATGCGAAGTCACCAATGGGATTATTTTTTAAGGCATTAGCGATAAATTAATCCCATTTTCTCCCTCTGCTCTTGACAGCGACGTTGGTTCCAGCCCCTTATAAGTTTTGGGCCAGCATCCGTTTAGTAAGATTGCTCAAAGGGGTCGTGGAAATTAGAATTTTTACCACCCAAAAGCAAGAAGGATGCAAAAATTATTCAGAAGGTGGTTTTGATTCAACTCATTCAGAAAAATATATTAATGTTTAAATGAACTCCAATATTTCCTTTCAATCGGCAAAAGCGACTCATTTTTGACAGCAATGCAAACATAACATTCATCAGAGGTGAAAATCCATCAACTTGGCAATAAAAAAGCAGGTTTTGGCTGGTGAGTTTGTGCTTTGATACACTCCTCTGTAAAATGAATTTGATTTGCATAGAGTGAGGTCAACAACCATAGCCTTTAGAGCACCGTGCTTATCATTAATTAGATAAATTTAAATTGGTTTACCCTCTTTAAAGTTGACAAATTATTATTTACATGGTTAAACGTGACCATCAACATTGGTCGAAGAAAAATTTCCCTTTAAACTTTGATATTAGAAACATAAGAATTACCAACTTCGTTCGGAATCATAAATTATAAAATAGCCAATAAATTAAGAATTAAATTTTCTGCAACCATAAATTGCAATAAAATTACTTCCAATTCTACAGATTTTCAAATGTGAAGTATATGAACTTAAATTAATATTCTCTTTAAAAAAATCCACTGACCTTATCATATTCACTGATGTAGACGGGTCCGGTGATGAGCAGCATGGGGAGGTTGAGGACGAGTGCGACGAGCGTGACGACGGCGAGGACGGCCCTGGCCCTGGCGACGGTGCAGACGGCGGGTCGGTGCAGCGGGTACTTGACGGCGACGAAGCGCTCGACGGTGAACGCGACGACGAACCACACGCTGAGGAAGCTGCACACCGACGAGAGGTACATGATGGCCTGGCAGGCGCCCTGCTCGTTGTACAGGGCCACGTCCACCAGGTCGAGCCACACCATCAAAATGCCGACGAGGTAGCCGGTGTCGCTGATGGCCAGGGCGGCCAGGTAGTAACTCGAGCTCAGTTGCCGCAACTTGGCCGTGCTGAAAACCACCACCGACAGACAGTTGCCGGCCGAACCCAGCACCACCAGCGCCGGCGTGTAGTACAGTTGGATGGCCAGCACCACGGCCCCTTCCGGACTGTCGTCCACGGCCAACACCGAAGACCCGTTGCCCGCGGTCGAGTTCAAACTCGTTGCGTTCATTTTGCTGTTATTTGAGCCATTCTGCAAAAAAAAGAAACATGCAATTTAATTTAGGCGTGTTATAATGAACAAAAGCCCAAGAGCTTTGTAATAATTTTTGCCATTTTTTTTATTTATATATTAATGAAGAATGGATGATGAGATCAACCTAAAAAATTTCAATCCTCGACCACTGACGCGCAAATTGTCCAAAAAGGTCTGGAAATATAATAAATCTTTTGTCCCGCATCAAAGTTAAATGATGGCTTAGTTTCGGAGAGCACAATAAAATATCGGAAAATGTCGGGGTTCTAATAATGGTTTTCCAATTTTATTGCTTCTCATAAAATCCCCTTTATATGAAATGAGACTTCAGACGCACTCCTTTGGCATATTTATTTTTATTTTTATGAAGACAGACGATTGGATATTTCTCATATTTCTTATTTTATCCATTTCTCATCAGCTCGGTCCTTTCCATTCTCTGTGACTTGGCAAATATTTACTTGCATTAAGAAAGTAATTTATTTCTATCCTCTTCAAAATCACTCTTTCTAAAGAATAGATGTAAAAGAAATTAAATGATGAAAAATTCGCAGCGCTTAAATAAACTAGATAGGAACAGGTGCTATTGTGCATATTGTTTGCACACATTAAATCTTATCTTCAAGAGGAAAAATTTTCATTTTATTTTGACCTCGTTGCATAAAAACCATAAAAATATAAACTACTAACATGGGAAAAAAATCGTACATAAGATAAACGCAAATTCTGAGATTACACGATAATTCGTCAGCACAAATGTTCTGAAATTGAATTTTTTTATTTCATTGTTTTTATTTGGCCTAAAATAAATAATGGTGTTTTATTTTTCTCATAAAAATCAAGTCACAAGAGAGTGGACTGTGTTATGAAAAAGGCCAATAACTTGACATGCTTAATTGAGGTCGTACGTGTAATGAGTAAACACGCCGAATTGGAGAATCGCATGCCTTGGTAACCTTTGAGGTAATTTATTATGTGCATGTTTGTCAAATGCGAAATTGTTTATCGCGCCTTATTTGAAACCCCCATGATGATTTGCTTAAGGACAAGTCCTTTGTGCCGTAACAATCGGTTCAATTTGTAGCAAAAAAATGTAAAAGAGGAGAATGGCGTGCTTGAGTCACATAAATTACTTGATCTATATTTAGCTGAGCTTTGAAGCGGTTGTGAAAGTGACGATGGAAATTTTATAAACTGGCAAGCAATGATTTTTGTAATTTTGAGAGTTGGCAAAAGCATTACAAAGAACGTTATCACAAAACTATCAGACACGTTTTGTTTCTCATAAAAAATTTAAGATTTTTTATTTCTACTTATTTAAAAGAAAAATTACAATCAGAATGAAGCCGGTATTGCTGTCGAAAGAATTTTGGTTTTATTCCATACTTTCCAGCATTGAGTACTTTTACCATTTTTGTTTGTGTTGCTCTCTCTGCTTATAAAAGTGTTGGCAAAAAATGCTAAACTTTATGACTTTCTCCTCAAATGTACTGTAGAAAATATGATATGGAAAAAAAACAAATCTTCATTACACGTAGAGAGGAAATTGTTCACAGTGCATATTCCATTTTGATTGCCCACACAAGAGTAATCTAAGCGCCGAACAACACGGAACTGATTGAAATTGTCAAGCCTTTCAAGCACTTCATTGTTCATTCAATTTACAAAATATTTTAAATTTTTACTGTATATTTTAATGTTAATAATTAAAAATCGCTAATATATCAATTATAATGAATTGCCGCATAATAGTCCAAGGAACTAATGAAATACTTGACTTCGAGGAATTTTCAACTAGCTTGCTAGTCTCATGTATATGTATTTATTTTATTAACATTTTTTCTGAATTTAAAATTTTTCAACTTTGGTATATTTAATTGAATTGTTCAAAGAAAAAATTTGAAATAAATAAACAATAAAATATTAATAAAATAAAAGGTAAAATAAAGATAAATAATATTATATTGAAAATTATAATAATAATATTGACTACTTTTATAATCGAAAAATTTATAATAAAAAAAAATTGAAATGCAGGTTATTTATGACAAAATTATATTCCTGAAAATAATGCGGAAATTGTTTGAACAGCAAATTAATAAATGCATTTAAATTTTTTGTAATATTTTTTTTGTTCTTTTTATTATAAATAAAAATTAACAAAAGGCATAATTATTTACAAAGAAAATTCATTTTTAATCAAAGTTAACATTTTTTCCTGAAATGCACCTCATGATTAAGCATTCAATTTGATTTTTAAAAGTATTTATTACGCGATAACCATACAATTAATATGCAAAAGTATAATAAATTGAACATTAAAAAAATTAACTGTATATTTGATGAAAGAGTTCGCCAGATTCATCTCATATCATTTTGCTGATGGGAATTGCGCTCCTACAAGGAAAGTCTTTTGTGTTTAATCAGAGCCGAGCACCACTGGCTTTGCCGCAAAATAAGAGCGAAACGCAGCATTCTGATCATCGAGTAAAAGGCGCGGCTTTGCAAATGCTAATCTCTGGATGTGACATTCCTGTCCTCAGGACGCAATCAAACGCTGACAACAAAATCGCGGTGGCGAAGGCGTGGGTGCCTAACACTAGTAAGAATCTGTTGATGACATTCCGGAAATATCACAAAGAGAGCATTGTGATCTCTAAAATTCATTTTATTCCGACACGAGCGAGTTTGATAAAAATTTTGGCAAAAAGGTATGCAATTTTATTTGATTCGCTGAAACGAGCAGTGACGCTCTATCATTTTTCCACCCCATACCATTTACCAATTCTGCGTCCCGCGAGAATTGAGTGCTTTATGAAGCGTGATTGATCACCTCTCAACAAGATAGGCTTGTTTATACAATAAATCTCAGTTTTTCGCATCCAATGCATTAATTGTAACCACCGGCCATTTTTTTAGAACAAACCCAACTTTTCCAGTTTTAGATTTACTTTCAAAACAAAAAATAATGTTTAGTTGTTAAAACAGTTTAAACTTAAGGTAAAGTCATAATTTTCAGAATATGGGTCTGTAGCCCACATTAATTCTTTTTATCAAATTAGTGATTTTGAACTAATTTTTATGAGAACTGAAAATTTGAAATCTAAATTGTTAAATATATTTGCATACCAAGTTCATCTTATCACTACACTTTACAGCTTTGAAAGAAAAGAGAAATAAGTTAAAAAGTGCTAAGACAATATATTTTTTCAACGGAAGGATAAGAATAATCATTGCGGAAGAAAATTAAAATTTTACTTTACAAACCGACGATTAATTTAGAGTCACGATAAAATATCCAGTGCAGACTGGTTTAATTTCAGCTGTAAATAAATGAACATCCACAGCAATTTCAAAGAGATGGACAATTGCTTTGATTACCAGACCTTCCAATTAGTTGTCAATAAGAGTAATTGAATAACTATGTTTACGGTGGTCGACCTCTCCAGTTTCAGCTCCGCCAATCGAGATTGATTCAATCAACAGAGGAAGTCTGTCCAAAATCGCAATAAACCTTTTCTACGCTAGCCCAAAATATCTCAATGTGCTTTTTGGTATTCTGCAGCGGCGGCTCTTTGCTCACATCAGCAACAATATATTATTCCACATTTCCACCCAAAACGCGAATCGAATCACTGATTTGCTCCAAGTGTGTGGTACGGAAAGCAGAACGAGATGGTGAATTTTGTACAAAATTCAACAAAGAAACGCTTAAATGATATTTTAAATAAACGCACTCCACGATAAATTCTTATGCTATCAATAAAAGTGCCTAAGATATTTTCAAAAATCTAAATTCTGATTTCTGCAGATGAGATTTTCAAGTGATTTGAAGGATTCATTACAAAATTGGCATTGAAAGTATATAGAGTAAAAATATTTTGATTTAAAAACGAATGCTCAGATTGGAAATTCATTATTAGGGGTTATGGAACTTTGAACAAATAATTTGCAATAATACAACATTTCAGAGCTGAAGCCATATTATTGGGATATTTTCATTTCTCTGTCTGTTTCTCCAAATGCAAATTTAATAAAATGATTATTAAGTACTAAATTCTTCACAAACAAAAAAATTCATTTCTTTCTAAAAAAAAAAGGAGAACGGCATTCAACCCTAAATTTCATATCTTTCGTTAAGAACTTGTGGGCGGCTGGATAGCGTCCCTGTTTCTCTCGAGACATATTAAAAACGAGCAAGTTGTCAAGTACCGCCCACGAATACAGAAAGCTGAGAGAAATATAAAAAGTGATACAAGTTTTGCAGTTCGTTTGAAAAAAGTTTTTTGGCGAATGTAATACCTGATGAAAGAGTGTTGGAGGTACGAGTTCCTATGCTGCTTTCGCTATCTAGAACTTTTCTGCCGTAGTTGACATTTTTTTCAATTCATTTTGTCGTGCTGGGTAACAGCCAATTTTCCATGCGTTCATATACACGCTATTGATTCAAGTTTTTTCTTCCAAATATGCCATTAAATTGAAACTTGAGGAAACATTATTGAGCCTTCTTTTATGCGATTCTTCACATAATTGCAACTTAAATTGTTTGTATCTTTAAAGTTTTATTTTTTCTTCTTTCCTCAAAATATTTTTCATGTGCGTAGATTTATTCAATTTTGTGCTTATTATCAAAGGTTATTATTTGTTTTAATTTCTTACTACTTTCACAAGTCAAATAAGTCAATATAGCCAAACAAAAGACATTTAAAAAAATTACATAAAAATAAAAAAAAGGCAGCAGATGGGGTTTCTTTAATGTCGGAAGTTTTAGCAAAATTCTTGCTGATGTTGGTGCCGTTTTTGATTGAATGTAAATAATGATTGAACAATTTGAGCAAATAAACAACAATTAATAAAAAAAATAATCCTAAACTCTTATCGCTTTAAAATTTATAATAATAATAATAAAATTTAGGAGCTTAATTGTAACAAAAGATTACTGTAATAAATAATAATAAATCAATTAAGAAAAAAATTATTGTCTAAAATAGCGTCGTGCTGAATATCAATTTTTATATTTAACTTTAATCAATTTTTCGACCCTTTTTTTATTCCTAACTTATAAATAACATCTTCCGCACTTTTTGCCAGGATAATCCCGTACCGCTGTCAACACCAGTGTGCATCACAATTCCTTTCATAAGCGGAAAACAAACCATTTTGGGTTCAGTTCCCTAATCTGATTTAAAAATACTTCCCTAATTTTAAACTTTTAATGCTAAACCTCGCAAATGTAAAGAAATCATTCTGTTAATAATTTCTTTTTCAACAAATCTGATCTGACTGTTTTAATTTAATTTCACCACCTCTTACTTAGTTTGAGTAATTATTTGCGTGATAAAAGGATTTAGTCAAGATCAGACTTATTTCTTCTGGTTGGCTACTGCAAGAAATCAGGAAATGTTTTTCACATTTTTCGCTGCATAGGATAAATGATAGCAAAATAATTACAAAAATTGTTTAAAAAGAGCTCTTGTAGTATTAATTGCAAACGTTTCAACTGGTTTCAGCCAACCCAAAAAGTTGGGAAAATCCGAAAAATCAAGCTCTGGTATCGAATTGCTGATGATTTAATTTGGCCTACACAAAGCTGCGGCCTCCATGCAATTAGTCCCTTCCAGCGCGTCGCAAAAATCGAATCGGCACTGGGACTCAACCAACTCCAGTTTGATTAGTTCCCATAGAAAAACCGTTTTCGTGTGTGACAGCAGGAAAAAAATACCATGTCTCCGCTTCACCTGCACAACTCAGGATAGTATGAAAGAGTTTTTCCCTTGCATGTCAGTTCTGCGGGCAAAAGTAATTTCTCCGGAATCTTGCTCTTGCTTGAATAAAATCGCAATAAAAGTCGCGCAGCGCATACTCGGGGGGGGGGGGGGGGGGGGATCGCAATATCTCCGATTTTGCAATTTAAATTGAAAGACCTAGTCGCGGAAACTTTTGGTGCTCGGAAAAGCAGCCCAAGGCCCGTTTCTTGAAAGGGAGGGAGGGAGTCAGATATATGCTCATAAAATACATTATTGCTTCTGGCAAAAGCACCTTTCAAGACATCTGAATTCGTGCATCGTCTTGTTTGTAATCAACGCGTCTTGAGATTGGGAATTATCATCACGAGCCGACTTCTGGGTGGTTATGACATAATTACTGTAATAACGCTGCTTCTTCCCAGCGAGCGATTTTGATGTTTGAATGCATCACTTTGATAAATGGAGGGTTCGTAAAAAAAAAATGAGATAAGCAAATAATAATCATGCCGTCGTACTGTTGTTTTCTTCATAAATAAGATCCAAACTGTATTTTCTTTATTTAGAATTATTACATTTCCATTCGAGTTCTTTGTCAATTTTTTAATTAAAGCATTTAGTAACGAGAGGAGAAGGTTTTCAGTTAAAAAATAAATTTTAACTGATAGTCAATTTAGAAATTTTATTATAACATCTTTTTTTGAATACTATTTAACCGTTTAGTTTTCTTAAAGAAATCTTTTGAAAATAAAAATAACATAAACTTCATCTTTTACTCTTTATTCGTCTATTTATTTCTAGCTAATTTGTTTGTTTTTATAATATTCTAATTTAGTATTCGTACTTTCTTTATTAATACGATCGCTTATATTTGTATGGTGCTAAAGAAAGAAGATCAATTTTTTTTTTCATATATAGTCTCTCTTTGTACACCATCTGTAATAATATGCAAAAGCTGAGCAAGGAAGTTTACATTATTCATCGCCGAGACTATGACAAAAATTTTATCGCCTTAGGAATCAAGCTGGAGGCGATAAATTATCCAAGTGCTTGTGAGAAGTGAAAAAAAAATAGTTTCCCAATTTGAGAGGAGAGAAATAATTTTCTAATTTTCGTTAGTTTACATTTTTATACAAAATAGATCAATGAGTGTAAATCTCACTTTGCACGTCGTTCCCAATAACTCTGAATCCGAAACAGCTTTGGCTGGGCTATTTATATTGGTAAAACGCACAAAACTCGCTATTTGGAAAGGCCATTGCGAAGGCCGGTCGTAAAAGCTTGCTGAGATTAGTGATTGCATTACGTTTTGGGTGGAACTCCATTAGATAATAAAAGAAATCCATCAGAAAGTGAAGAGCTTTCAATCTCAGCGTGAATATCAAACAAATAAAAAAATCCTTTGGTTCGAGTGAGCCGTGTTTTTGCCATTAGCAAGTTGTTTGCCAGCAAATTCAGGCCCCAATCAAACTTATGTATGATGAACCATTTATTTTTTTCAAATTTCTTTATGAAAATTAATATTGAGTATGTTTTTTGATTGAAGCGATAATACTAAAAAAAATAACAAGCCAAATTTTTCAATTTGAGAAGATAAGATGGCAATGGAGTGAAATAATAGGGTTTGTCCTCTTTACAAGAACATCAATAAGTAGTTTTGCGTTTTAATTAATTGGTGGTTAAAAATACATGCATGTAAAATAAAAAATGTAAATAAGATTCATTATTGTTAGTTAACAAAGAATAGGATTTTAGGTTTTTTAAGTTTATAACCAGACGTTGCTTTGAGTTAACATTTTTTTTTTAATACCACATTTACAATGAATGAAAATTTTAACCTTAATATTAATGTCACGCGCAGAAAGAAACATATATAATTATAATTGGAACCAAAAAAACGACTTAACAATAACTTTAACTATAAAAAATTCATATTATAAATAAAAAAATACTAAAAAAATAAAAAAATTAAACAAAAAATTTTAAATGAATGAAAATACGGCGCGTACTTTTAATTGTTTAATTTTGTTTCTAATTTCTATAATTAAAACAATTTTATCCTGTAATGCATGCAAAAAGATATGATTATAAATTAAATTTTACTGCCTCCACAACATTTACTTAATATGTGTGCAATTACCTATAAAATTTTAAGACTTTTTTATTTTTCGCGCGATAAAAAATGTAAATAAAAAACGGTTTGAAAATAAAAATAAATCTTGAAAAATAGATGCAACAACTTAATTGTTTGGTGCAGACAAACAATAAATGATGTGTGCACACAAAGCGGGACAGAAGCTGATACATGGCAATTAATTAATTACCTGACGCCATCCGCTGATCTGACATTTCGTCTATCGCAAGCACTTATCTAATCAAACTGAATTAACGCACACGCACAACACGGAGCGGTGTTTGTTTAGCGCGTGGTGGCAACAACTGCTGGATGCTCAAAATATATGGTGTACTGTTGGTTCACATGGTCCTCATGCACTTTTGGAGGAGCAGAGGAGACTGAATGGACGTTGAGAGGCCCAAGCCTCACGTTCGCAAATCGAGGCGCATGCGTTCGTGCAGCCGAGAGCGTCTCTAATCAGAAATATTGCTCCTTTCTTTGACTTTTTTAAGCACCGATTAGGTTCAGTTTCTTCAGAAATGCTCGTTTGATGATGATAAGATTTACGAGGCCTGCTTGAAAAGATCAAACATCGCCACAAGGTAATCGTTTTGAAGCGAATCTTCCGTTTTTTTCAGCAGCTCTTAATTATCTCTCGTTAAACAAATACTCACGCTATTGGTTTTAGATTTTTTTGCACATCTCCAAATTTCTCATATTAATTCGACGAAGCGCAGATGTTCGACGAAGTCAAGAGTGCAATTCAAACAAGTGAATATCTGGCAAATTTAAATATATGTATATGATTGGTGATTATTGCGCAAAACAGATTTCATTTATTCCCGATGCGATTAAAGAAGTAAAAAAATTTTAATAGAGATTATTTCAAAATGTTTTGATATGAATAAGAAATTAATTAAATACACACACAAAAATGAGAAAAATGGCTAGAGAACAAATATTTTGTTTTAATTATATTTTTTCATGTAATCAGTTTTATTTAATAACTTTAATCATGTTTCATCAAAACTTTTTGGAAAGATTTGTAATTGCTGATCACAATTCATATCTGTTTTTTTTTTATAAGTTCCACTTTACAATTTTTTACCTGACAAAAATTTCAGAATATTCGAAAGCGAAACATCCATTTCACCTTCTGGGTACGGTTTTTACATTGTCAAAGCCACTTTTGGATTGAATTTTTTTTCCATCAGATTGCCCTGAGAATAAAAAAAATTTATCAAGGGTGCACAATCAGCAGACCTTTCAGCAAAAGCCATCGATTCTGCTTACTCGGTATTTACTTTTGGCGCAACCAGCGTGTCGCAATTTCTTCCCTTTATTCCTTGTCAATATGGTCCAAATGAATGAAAGTGGGTATTGCTCGCCGCACGCAATTTTCGCAATTTTCCTTTCAGAGAGGTCATCGTATTTAATAGGCTTGAAAATACTTTTTCCACTGGTAATAACCAAGAGCCAGTAACCTTCATCGTGCGCGTTACTTCTTAAAAACGTTTGGGAGTTTATTTTATGCGCGGTAAGTTTTTGCTCGGCTTTTTTCAATTGTTTACTGATTTATAATCTTATTATCTTGACAGATACTTAAAAAAAGTATTTATATTATATCTTTTCAAATGATTTAAATTTTCATTTATTTCATAAATTGAAAAAATTGTTTCAAATGATTTGTTAAATTTATTATTTTTACATTACACACAATTTTTTTCCTACAAAAGCGTGATTAAAAAATCTATTCCAGCCCTCCCAGGCACTGATTTTAGTGGGAATGAAGAAAATGGAACGGATTTCCACCACGTGAAAAATTAATGTCTCCGGCGGGCGACATTCAGATGGCAAAAAAAGGAATTTTGGTAGGAAAGGACGCTGTCTGGACGGTTTCCGCGATGTCAATTAGTCCTATTCATTACATGTGAGAGCAGACAGAGGGCTTTGGCGAAAGGGGGTGTGAACTGCTCTGTATTTATGCAAATGAAATCGTAATTTGCTCGCGGAAAAAGGAGAGGCAAATAAACGTCAATTTTTTATGGCACACGTGAAATTTTTCTCTCTGTCGCAATTTTATATAATTTCATTTTACAATAATAAAAGTTAAATCATTTTAATATCCAAATTGAGTAATTAGAAAATTTTGATATTTAATAAAAGTAAATCTTTTCCAAATAAAAAAATTAGTAAAACCTTGAGAAATATTTTAAAGCCTATTGAAAAAATGACACCAAAAAATGGCAGCTTGCGGTCTGCTGATATTTTAAAATAATTGATGAAAAAATTAGAATTATTTTCATTTGTTTGCGAAATCCATCTTGATTGTTAATTATCAAATTAGATTTGAAGTTATCAAATGAAAAACCTGGAACCCTCCAGGAAACATGGTTAAAATTTGTGCAAGTTTAAACCAGTTTAAACTTAATCCCGTAAGCTAAAGTACTATAATTGAGTGTCATACTTAATTATTTTGCAGACTCAATGTAAACAAACGATCAAATTAATCTACAAGTAGTGCTTCTGATTGTGCGTGAATTTGATCAAACTCGAGAAATTCGGTTGAATCTCTTGAGTAGGATCAAAGGCTCTCTGCCGACGGTTGATTTCAGATGGGAAACAGTATGTTCGCTTATTGTTATTTAGGCGAGAGAGGAATGATGAGAAGTGCGTTTTGTGCTCTCTGCTGAAGCAAGCGTTGATATCCGAGAGTGGCTGCGGTGCACACAAAAGCGTCCCTCTGCCTGGCTCTTTTCGCTCCACGGAACCGGAGCGATCCGCACAAAAGACGAGGATCTCTTTTCCGAAAAACAGATTACTTTTTGCATGTACACAACATTTGGAAATGAATTTTCAAGAAATGGTGGACTTTTTGCACCATGAATAAAATATGAGGCTGTTTATTGCAGGGGTGAAAAAAGTGTGTATCAGAAAAAGTTCATCGAAGAGCTCGGTAAACATCGTTACACGCAAATAAATGCAAAACATCGGCCAGAATCGAGGAGTTTTGCGTGGGTAGAATGTAAGGTGTAGTCGCGAGATAAGGGCGAGTTTTTTTACGCCGTAACTTTTAACCTTTGTCACATTTTTTTCTGCGAGCGAAGGAAATTCGCTGGCAGAGGCGTCTATCAAGTTTGTCTGCTGTTGAGAAATAAAGTGTGAATTTTTTTTCTCCAGACTTAGGCAAAAAATTCTGGCTTTCCAATTTGATTGGCAATATTAAATTTCCTGTATTGCAGCATTTTTTTTTTTGTCCACGGAAACTTATCCTTTTGTGATCTTTTGTCGCTCATTGTGTCCTCACCCAACTCTTCCCATTATACTAATTAAATGTCTCTGCAAAGTGTGCAACTTGATAAAATTATCTTTACGGCGTCGCAGTAAACAAATTAGATTGCAAGACGTGAATGATTAATTACAACGTTGAAGCTCCTTCATCCTGCTTTCAAAAAACAAACGCGCTACATTTCCAGTCAAGTGTAAAGATATTTTCAGGCTGGTTCAATCCAAGGGAAAAACAATTAACCAGGCCTACATTATTACAAAAAGACATCTTCCATTTATTTTTCAATTCATTTTCTGTCCTTCGTCTTACTTGATATGAATAGTATTTTTTCTTGCTCTAAAATAAAAAAATTTTATTATTTTGTTCTTTGCAATTAAAATGCTTAAAATTTGGTTGAAATATTTTTGTTATTTTTTTTGCCATATTTCTGCGGAAACATGAGAAGTGGTTTAAAATGTGAAATGTTATTGGATTTTTTCTTTCTTTTCTGAAGTGCCCATGAAATGAGATTTCCGCTAACTTCGAGCCCACGCAATAAAGAGCAATTTTCACCGTTTGAGTTTTCATAATAATTTCTGCTAGTAATTAAATAAAATCTATTCATTTTACTGAGAATAATGAATGGAAAATTTCAATCAATTAATGTACACAATGAACTTCATAATTTAAATGTGAAATAATTAATGCAAATTATGAAATAAATATATTTTTTTAAAAAAATTAATGAAATAAAAATGCTTCAATATCAAAGTTGATAGTAAAGACCACAATATTTTTTAGTAGTAAAAACTTATAACACTACTTAAGTGTTGAGCTTTTTGTCACCTGCTTCACATCGCTCTGCTTGAATGTTCATCACGGTTAAACCTAAAATAGCAAGCCCGACCGCGCCTTCACTGACAGACAGGTTGCATACGGTAGCGTTGGATCAGCGTTGATGTTGACTTATATTGACATGTTTTCACAAAGCTTTGATGCGACGTCGACATTCCCCTTACCGCCACTCTGCTTACGGACGAGGATTTTCCTCAATATTTTAAAAGCAACAAAATCTCCTCTCAATTTCAATTCAATTCAATTCAATTTTATTGTTGTTCTGTTAGACAAGAATATTAACAGTAGTCTTTAGAACATGTCAGGTCTAAAATTAAAATTTAGAGAAAAAAACCCGTTGCTTAGGGCAAAGGGAAAAAACTATAAGATTAGCGCGAGAAATTTCACTTGTCAAAACTGCACAGTAAGTATTCGTGTATGTCATAGAAGTTGTGAAACAAGTGCTAAGTGAACACAACTTCTATGACATACACGAATACTTACTGTGCAGTTTTGACAAGTGAAATTTCTCGCGCTAATCTTATAGTTTTTTCCCTTTGCCCTAAGCAACGGGTTTTTTTCTCTAAATTTTAATTTTAGACCTGACATGTTCTAAAGACTACTGTTAATATTCTTGTCTAACAGAACAACAATAAAATTGAATTGAATTGAATTGAAATTGAGAGGAGATTTTGTTGCTTTTAAAATATTGAGGAAAATCCGTTTTCACGAAGCTTTGATAGAGGAGATTTTGTTGCTTTTAAAATATTGAGGAAAATCCTCGTCCGTAAGCAGAGTGGCGGTAAGGGGAATGTCGACGTCGCATTTCCCGCGACACTTGACGCACCACAGAAGATTATCAACCGCTTTTTTTAAGCTTAATGAACAAAATTATTAAATATGTATATTGAAAATTCCACGTGATTTCAACAAAAATTAATGGGAAAACTTTGAAAAAATTGAATTTAAAAAAAAAAAACATAAGGAACACATTTTTGTATTTTCCTTCGTCTTGAAAAACGTGGAATTATTTCAAAACTTAAATAACCTGTTATTACCAGCGATAAAATCATATTCAGGTGATTTGTTATGAAGATGATTTATTTAATTAAAAATCCATACCTTTTAACATCCTTCCTTCATCCTCCATTTTAACTTGAAAAAACTTTTTAATATCCCCTGCTTAGCAAGAAACTTTTGTTAATTTTCTCCCTTTTTGATCCCTAATATTTTACGCTCTTTAATTTCATAATAACGAGATATTAAAAAAAAAAAATGACGAGAACAAGAGAGTGTTTGACACGTTATAGCAAGGTGACGCTTATTTTAAATCAAATTAAACGCGACCAACGCTGCCTTTGA